GGAGAAAAGACTTCGTACACACATATCCAATTTACTTTTCATAACAGTCAATTAACATTTAATGTAGGACCAGGTGGGGTTTTCTCCCTTTTTTAGTTTTTGAATTTACATTTGAATACTCAAAAATACTATGCAGTTCTTAATCTTTATAGTACCATTGATACGACAGCTGCCTTTTCTTTCCTTAATATTTCTGTGTTTGCTGTGCTTCTTCTGTACCATGTATTGTTATAGAATGGAGAGCACATTGGAACAAAAGATCTATGCGCGCCATCTGTTTTGGGCAACTGTTTGCTTTCCACCAATCCGTTCTAGTTAGGGCAGGTGAGACTTGTAGTCCAGACATCAAAGTGCATCTCTGAGCATGTAACTATATTAAAGAGTACAAATAACCAAGTTCAAATTACTATATTTTGGACACATAGTACAATGATCTAAGTCACTTTAAGAAAATCTATAATGCTGTGAAAGAGGAAAGGAAGGAGAAAAAGAGGACAATCAGCACAAGGTCAATGGACTCAATGTCATGGTGGTACCACTGAAAAATCTGAAGGACCAGGTTGGGGGCAGGTCATCCTGGAGAAAAACTGTGTGGTAACTAAGAATTGACAGCAACACGATGACACATAATTTTATCCCACTCATACCTGAAACCAGCAGCCCCCAACATTTTTGGGCAATAGACCGGTTCTGTGGAGAAAGGTTTTTCCGTGGACCGTAGGGGGCATGGTTTCACATGCTGCCTGCATCCCGAGAATGGAGCTTTGTTTGTGTGGCCCAATTTCTGGTATGCTGTGGCCCAGTGCTGGTCAATGGACTGGGGGTTGAGGACCCCTGACTGAAACTATCTTTAACTTACTTTTTACTAAAAAAAAGAGCCTGTATATAATCTCAAGGGTATAAAATGAAAAGTTTAGAACACGTTTTACTCCTGTACCTTTTTAGATAAACCATTTAAGGAACAAACATGCTGCTGATATACTGCATTAGTTTTCTACATGTCCTGTACCATTTAACCTATATTTCTTGAAAGACATGTACTTACTATGGAAACTCCTATATATAAAATCAAGGTTGGGTTTCAGGAGTCTGTGAGCTTAGTTTTCCATTTGCTGACATTTTATTACCATGCAGGTAACAATTTCAGTAGTGTTTACCTCTTCAAGAACATAACACTAAAGATATTACCCAGGCCTGCAACAAAACATTTACAAATGAAAAACTGCTTAGAGAACTCTTACACGTCAACTTTTCATTCTGAAATATATTCTGTATGACCTCTACAATTGTAAAAGAAATGAGTGGCAGATCACTTCCACTTGTCATGTAGTCACCGGGAAGTGAACTCAGTTTAATAGCATGTTTACTATCCTGTTAAATGGATAAAGTAAAAAAAAGCAGTTTTATTGTAGTGTAATCATTATATCCTATCTAAAGTATGGGAAAATCTTTACCATCTAGTTTGTGATTGCAGATTTACAATTCTCAATGATAAGGCTTTTGATAAAACTTTTCTTTCACATCAAAGACTTAATAAGTATATATTATTCAGTGCTTGGGAAATTTGCAACTGTATTCTAGAGCTTGTCTAAATAAAATGGTTTTTTTTTTGTATTTCTTGTTTTCAAATGTTTTTAGCAATGGTTAATTTGCCCAAATGCTCATTAAAATATATTAGATGCATACTTTGACTTTTTCCATAATATATGAATAAAAATACCTGTGAATAAATCTTAAATGCCTTAGCAATCATTTCTTATGCAAGTTTCTTGTCCAACACCAGTAATGTACTAAAAACTATAAACAAAGTATTCCTAATTTAAAATACAAGTTGCTCATAACCTCTTCTATCAGAATGCAGTAACTTGCAGGTGGGAAACATTTTGTGAAACAACTGCAATTCAAACTGGTTTTTAAGAAGAGATTGGACAATCATTTGTTTGAGGTGATATAGATTTTGTGGTTGAGGAGGGGGTTGGGCTAGATACAGGGGTCTCCAACCTTGGCAATTTTAAGCCAGCTTTGCTTTGCTGAGAAATTATGGGAGTTAAAGTCATAAAGTCATAAAGTTGCCAAAGTTGGAGACCCCCTGACTAAAAGACTTCCAAGGTCCCTTCCAATTCTGTTATTTTGTTATTCCACCTGAAGCAAAAAAAAAGAAAGAAAGAAACAGAAATACAGTGTCAGTTAACTATCAATTGTCCAAATGAGAAACAGACCCAGTAGAATACAAGAAGACCCTTCTATCTATCATTATTTGTCTTAGAGGTGAAATAGGCACAGGAACAGATTGTACAGTTCTCAACAGTATTGAATTCACACTCCTCTTTTATGCAGCATTAGCATTAGGCATTTTTTAAACAGTCAAGTTGGTATAACCTGTAACTATTCTGTTATCTAAAAGGAAAGAGGCATTTCTCAAAAAAAAAGTTTTACATGAAGGAAGGCCTAAATTCAATCCTCAGCTCCTGCTACAAACTCTTGTTTGAAACTTTAGAAACCACATGTTGGTAAGTGTCAATAATGCTAGGCTAGATGTACCCAGTTGTTTGAGCCAGAATCTGTTGATTTTTAAATCATGCTCAAACTCAATAGGACAATGAATTAAAATATCCCATCTCACCATCCCAGTCTGGAATCTTCTGTCTGCTAAGTGTACTACTAAAAGTCTGGCATACAATACCTATTGTATAGTTGCCATTAGGTCTAGTTTTGACCTTAGGCACATTCATATATGGAGCAGCAAATACGTACGGTCACATAATTCTATAAAGAAATATTTTAAGGGCTTGATCCATTGACTTCTTCCCATTACTTCCAGCTAACATGCTTTACACATGTTTTCTAGAGTTACCACTAATACTGTTGGACTGAAAAGCAAAGTCATGCTAATTATAGGCAATAATTTGTTGGAATCTATTTGTAATATGATTTGTCAAGCTGAATATTTTGTGACTTCTTTTATTTCAAAATAGACATTGAATAAGTTGCCATTTAGTAGCATATACTTTATTCCAACTATTTGCTAAAAGATGAGGGATTCAATTTTCTGATAAACATTACATTTGAGAAATATGTTTGCATTTTTCCCAAGAAAATATTCACATACTTAACTTCTGTTATCAAAGAAACTGATACTACCATTTAAAAACAGATGTTTGTGCAATTTAGGACCACAGAGCAGTTTTTCTTGGGAAGTAACAAACTATACTTGTGGAATGAAATCCCAAGGGATGGGAAAAAAACAGCACTATCTTGCCTCTCCTCCATAGTTTATCATTTCAATACAGATTACTACAGCTATAAATAGCTAGTTGAGAATAAACATTTGCCTTGGTCTTCAGTGCAGTTTTCAAAGAATCATGTTTTCTCTTTGCACGTCCACACTTCAGAGACCAAGAGGTACAAACCCCAATAGTTAAGATAATATGCTTTTAACGATACTTTTGTACAGTTGAAAATTATTTGTAGAATTCTCAAATTTCCAAACCAATTTTGGTTTGGTGGCTGACAAGAATAATAAAATAGCAACTTCCCAGGGTTTTTATTTTGCCTTTAATAAAGTTTCCAGGCAATCTGCTAACCTAAAAAAGTATTGAACTATAGTTTTCATCATCCCATGTTTTATTTTTAATGGAGAAATAGTAATTTGTTACTGTTTGTCATCTTTGTAAGTCCAGACAGAAAAACAGACAGACAAACAGTCAGACAATCTTTTAAATTAATAAATTCTAAATAAGGCTCCAGGGCAGTGTTTCCCAACCTTGGCAACTTTAATATACGCTGGATTTCAATTCCTAAAATTCCCCAGTGAGCATGGCTGACTGGAAATTCTAGGAATTATAGTCTACACGTCTTAAGTTGCCAAGTTTGAAAAACTCTGCTCCAAGGCATTACTGTTGGCTGAGGAATTCTGGGAGTTAAAGTCCAGACATCTTAAAGTTGTCAAGGTTGAGCAACACTGATTTGTTCTTGCATCCCTTTTCTTAAAAAGAAAAGTAACCTGCCTGACCTAGAGAAAGTTGCTGGTACTTTTTTTTTTTAAAGGAAAGAAAGAAATGCAGGTTTATTCGAATCAAGTATTATAAACACCTAGTGTTATATGGATTTTGGAAATTGAAACAAAAGATTATACATTCCCTGCAATTTAAAGCTATACTCATTCCCAGAGCACTCACTGAACTTTAAGAATAACCGTAGTGACTGAATCTGCACTCATAATATGGTTTATTTGGCTTTGATTTGTGTAAACCCAACAATCATGGTTTGTTAAGCATATATTATGCTTAATTATACTAACCCAGCCGACTATAATTGATTCAGCAAGCCAGAATTAAACAAACTATTATTTTAGCCTATCAAAGGCCATCTAGTGAATTCTACAGTGGTTCATATAGAGAAGACTTAGATAAAGTACCTGTTAGATGGCATCTAATAAATCACAAGTTTTACGCTCTGTGTTTTGAATCTAATGATAGTTAGATTGCCCCCAGATTTAATACAGTGGCTCCTAAGTAGCCAGACTATTCCATGTTTATTCAGCACCTATATCTCAAGAAATATAAGTTAAAGAGTAAAATGTACTCTAAACATTTCTGTTAAAAGACTGGCTTGTGGTAAACAGTTGGTGTGAATACTTTTTCATGCAACATCAGGCTGATTACATTTTTGCATCAATAGTTTAAGTAGCAGTTACACAATGGAGTTGTATGTGCCTGTTGGGCTAATATATTTCCATGTGGAAAGTGATAATCAAATTTTCTAACACCTAAGCCACATTCTAGTTTTGTTGAGTCATAATTCACATGCATTTGACCCAAAGAAGGACATTCCTGCAGAAGTAGGTCTGCGCCTAAAAATTTGGTGAGTGCATTAAGTCGGAAGCTCTGTTGAATTAAAGAGAAAATTGGAGGAAGGATGTTTCAGTGCACACAGCTGTTGGGAGATGAGGTTACAATGCAGCTAAACAAAGCAGAGGAAATAGATCCCTCCTGTGTACAGTGAGATGGAAGCAAGCAAGAAGCTCTTTGACATCATCCAGACTGAGCATTGGATTACAACAAACAAGACTTACTGACAAAGGAGTAAGGAAACGCCTCCTAAACTCTAGAAAGGGCAGCTTCGTCAATCTGCGTGTAGAAACAGAAGCAGCAAGTCTAAAGCAAGAATACATCTAGGAACTCTGGCTATTTGCCATCATATGCACACATGTGGGACTGAACTGTATCTGATCCTTGAATTTTAAGAGACTAACTTGTTGGCCTGAGAGCTGCTGAAGCCATTTCTGTGAGTAAAGTTGTGCAGCATGCTAAACTATGCTTGATAACAGCTGTAGAAATGAGTTTTACCTCACAGAGTTAAGGGAGTTATATTGCAAGGACAGCCAAATTCTAATAGAGGCATGTTGGACTGATGATATCAAGTCCTCGGGATATTTCTTTCAAATGTATTGTTGTACTTTTTCTATAATATGGATGCTGGCCTCTTACTAACATAAATTTTAATTAGGGAGAAGTTTTTGCTTCCTACTAGAAATCATATATTATAGGAACAAATTTGAAATAAATATATGAAGCATTTTTTGGAGAAAACGCAGCAGATTAAAGTTATTAGAAAATTTGTCTTTTTCAGAAATAGCAGTGATATATCTCATTGTAGTGATCTGTATCTGCTTGTCTCTAAAGATTATTGAATTCTGCTGATGAAGGAACTGGAAAAAAGAGAAGCTATTAATTGTTATCTTAATGATGTCACTGATTGTTTGATTCATTTATTGTATTAATATATAATCAGTTAATATTAATATGTACCATTAAAACTCTTTTCCTAATTAACAATGTAGTACATAAACCCAAGATTTTGTGTTGTTTATCCTTACAATTATAGTAAAGCATTGAACAATATCAATGAAATAATAATTTGGAATATATTTGCTAATGTTTGATAACAAACATTTGAGTTTTGAAATACTGATTATATGATCAAACACTGTTTAATGTCCAAAATAGAAATAGAAAATATGAAATGATCAATTGGCAAAACACTATTATAAATTCAAGTATACTATGAACTTATCTCACACATAAATAATTGATTCCTCTGTAATCAACTATTGCAAATTCTAAATTGGGAAATATTATTCTCAGCCTATGTCGGAAGGATTTCCGACTTATTTTTTTTAGGGGGTAAATTTAAAATGTTCTGCATTCAGAATGTGGTTTGATACAGCAAAGTGTAGCTGCAGTAACATGGTCCTATTGTTTAAAAAAAACAAAAAACGGGTATGACTAACTTGAATAATCCAGGCCAAATATTATTAAATGATAGATGGAACTGCAAAGGGATTAGAATCATTACAAAAAAAAATAACCCTAGGCAGACATCCATTTTATCATAAACTTGTCTTTAACTGAAAGATACTTTGTCCTAAATTGTGCTATTTTCTGCTGTCCTTTTTAATGAAGTAGTTTCTCTAATATATAACTATAATCAGACTATAATTACACACACACACACACACACCCCATAAAAGCATTGATCAAATTACTGAAAAGCATAAGGCAAATGGCAAAATGTACATCATAATGCAACCTGTGCCACTTACATAGTGTGTGAGATATCGTGAAAGAAATACAAATGGATGGAGATATCATTTTGGCATCATTCTGTCTGGGTGTGAATGTCTATACTCAATAAACATTTTTTCCTCAGTTTAATGGCAAGATGCAACCTACTGTTCAGTCTATTTTATCTAGAAATCTATTGCTTAACATTTGATGCAGATCTATATTGCATAATAAGTCATTTTTACTTTCCCTAAAATGTCCACAGTTCTCCTATATTAGAAAGATTTATCTAAGAAAAAAAATTCCACCCAAAATGCAGTTATGGCCTAAAGTTATATTAATGTTCATTCTGAAAATTTCAACACAAAATAATGCATCCTCAGAACAAGTTACGGCTTGAATTCTTGAGCAACAGTTGCAATCATCTATTATTCCATATTTTTTGAAATGATCAATATGTGTAAAACAAAAAATTTTTTTTTTCACTTTTTAAGATGAAAATAAATTAATAAAGTAAATGTTCATAATTTCACAATCACAGAGCCATCTATCTCATTATCTCTCAAATAATATAAATAATTACTATGAATTTCATCTATTTCTTATGTAGTATCCTACTGGCTATAGAGCTGCAACAGGTTTTTCCAAAGGTTTTAACAAGTATGGAATTTCAGAAGCAGCAATGGCCTCATGTCCAGATAATAAATGCTTAAATTGAATAAACTGCCAAAAAGTACTCCAAGTAAATTAAACTTGATGTCGAGTCCAAGAAATGTTTTAAAAATTACTGACAGAACTGAATTAATCCAAGATGAATAATGGTCCCGCATTTTTATATCCAGTCAGTTACAGTAGACCTACCTGGGGGCAGGGATGGCTGCCAGTTCTAGCCTCTTCTATAGAAGAGGTTCCACAAATCTACAGTGCCGTTTAGAACCAGTTCCAGCTCCTTCCCCTGCCCATCCGCACATCATCAAGATGAAGAACGAGAGGAGGAATTCTGGGAGTTGAAGTCCACAAGTCTTAAAGCTGTCAAGTTTGAACACCCCTGGGTTTTTTTTCTAAAGGGTTAGGGGTGCAAGGGTCTTGTAACTTGACAGCTTTAAGACTTGCGTGCTTCAAATGCCAGAGTTTCTGAGCCAACATTTTGGTTGCTAAGCAAGAACATTGTTAAGTGAGTTTCACCACATTTTACAAGTTGGCCACACCCACCCAGTCACATGGCTGGCAAACCACTCCCACCCAGTCACATGGCTGGCAAGCCACTCCCACCTGGTCACATGGCTGGCAAGCCACTCCCACAAAGCAGGCCACACCTACAGAAGAGGTTCTTAAAAAATTGAAACCCACCACTGCCTGGGGGGTACTTAGCACCCAAATTTGAAGGTCCAGCAATCAGTCAAATTTCAGGCCTCATTTATGATTGTTTGCAGCAACCAATAGTCACATGACTGCATTGTACAACAGTTTTACTGAAAACTGGCATTTATTTCTGGCTTTCAGCAAAACCTCACCCATAATGATCCATAGTTTCACTCTAAAAACTGTGGCATACACTTGACAAAAGGTCTGCAAAAAGGGGCATAAAATTGAGTTGGTCATGAATGACTCGTTTTAAAACTTATAGCTGTGATGAGCAGGTTCTCTTACAGTCATAGTTGAGGACTACCCGTATTCCTTAAAATATGTGATATTTTTCATTATATTCCTTAGTATGATTCCATAAAGGGACTCATTGGGTAAGACGCTGACCTTGTTGATCGAAAGGTTGGCAGTTCGGTGGTTTGAATCCCTAGCACCGCATAATGGAGTGAGCTCCAGTTACTTGTCCCAGCTTCTGCCAACCTAGCAGTTCAAAAGCATGTAAAAATGCAAGTAGAAAAATAGGAACCACTTTGGTGGGCAGTTAACAGCGTTCTTTGTGCCTTCTGTGTTTAGTCATGCCAGCCACATGACCATGGAGACGTCTTCGAACAGCACTGTCTCTTCAGTTTTGAAACGGAGATGAGCACCGCCCCCTAGAGTCATGAATGACTAGCACATATGTATGAGGGAAACCTTTACCTTTACCTATAATTCCATAATGTAAAGTTTTACTTTGTTTTGCAACGTAATAGTTTCCATATGTAACAGGCAGCATTAAATCAGATATTCAAACAGATCCCTAATTAAGAAAGGTTTCCAAGATTTCAATGCAAACAGTCACTTTCAGATTGTTTTTTCCCCTGGAGTTTCGGCTGACCAAAGCTAAAATAAACACATAATAATAGAACTGCATATGTGGAAAATTAAATCTATCTTTCCCAATATGCAATTTATATAGTGAAACTCTCAAAGGATGTTCCTGTCAAAAAATGTTACTTAACAGCATATAAATTCACTTAGAATTATGTGAAGGAATAAAAATAGGGAAAAAAATTAAAATATAAATGAAATTCAGATTTAAATTCATGTAATCAAATTATCTCACCTCTAACTCTCAGAGGAATGCTGGATTATTTAGAACTTCTTTAATTTGTGTAAAATTGGGATATGCTAAAATTTATCATGTTAGAGGTAAAAAGGGAATATTTGTATCAAGATAAATAAAGGAATTAGAGTAAAATCTAAAACGCAAACCCCAATTAGTTTTATGTCTTCTGTATATAAGAGTTCCAGCTCTCCTTTTTAAACATACTGTAATTCAAGGAAGTGAATATACCTAATACTCTTGCTACCTAATGTATTTAACCTCAACAACAGCCCTGTGAGGTGATAAGATGTGTCTTTAGTAGGGTCTCTTTTTTAGCAGAGTCTTTGAATCACACAGTGGCTCAGTGCCTAAGACACTGAGCTTGTCGATCAGAAAGGTTGGCAGTTTGGCAGTTCGAATCCCTAGTGCCACGTAACAGGGGTGAGCTCCGGTTACTTGTCCCAGCTTCTGCCAACCTAGCAGTTCGAAAGCATGTAAAAATGCAAGTAGAAAAATAGGAAACATCTTTGGTGGGAAGGTAACAGTGTTCCTTGTGCCTTGTGTTTAGTCATGCCAGCCACATGACTACGGAGAGGTTTTCAGACAGCGCTGGCTCTTCGGCTTTGAAAGGGAGATGAGCACTGCCCCCCAGAGTTGGGCATGACTAACACATATGTGCAAGGGGAGCCTTTACCTTTACCTTTTTTTTTCAGCTTTACTGCATGCATTTTCAAAACTATGTGGATGGATAAGAAATTTGTTCCATCTCAAATTTTATATGAAAATACTCATTTTGAACTTCTGAATGCAAGGCATATTGAAATCCATTTTCACTGCAGTTCACATCTCAAGATAACTTAAGAAAAGCCCTTACAAATAAACATACATATTACTGGAAGAATATGTTGGAACAAATGGCATTTAATCACAGAATATTCCACAATGAATATTCTTTAGCATCTTTTGAGCATGTTCTCATGATAAATGACCCCAAAACAGAGGGAGAGAGTCATGTCTGTTCCTTAAAGATTCTGGGAACTGTAGTTCTATGCAGGCAACAAAGCCTCAAAAGAGAGGTCATGTCTATTAAATCAGTTTATAACATAAATCCTTCATAATGAAATGAGCCCCTTGAAAGGCATTGGTTACCAGTTTGCTTCCGGGTCCAACTCGATCATTATGTTTAAAGCCCTTTATGTCATGGATCCAGGGTATCTGAGGAAACATCTTACTCCAATGGGGTTAGCCTGCCACAGTCATTCCAGCAG